AACAAGACTTCTGGAGACATACAGGACTCTGGGAAACTGGGATGGTCGAGTTCATGACTCTCTGACATTAAAATAAAATAATCAGCAGATTAATCACCAATAAAAATAATCTTCAGCAGCTCTGATGAATTTAAAAAGGTATAAAACTGTGAAAAGCAGCAAACCCTCAAACCTGAGAGGTTTAAACCGGAGAGAGAGATTTAAAATGTTTCAGCTCGGTACTACAAGTACTATTAATATTAATGAGAGGCTACTGCTATTATATATATAACTAACTGACTATTTGTAGTAATGACTCCCCTCTGACATGTAGTGGAGAACAATATAAAGTAGCATAAAAGTACAGTTACCTCAAACGTGGACTTAACTGTAGTACTCAAATAAAAGTACTTAGATACTCTCGTTGAGTCTGGAATAAAAACTTACTGTGTTAATATTTACAGAGAGGATGTTACAGTCTGATCCATAATCAATATGTGGATGATTGATCCAGCAGGGGGCAGCAGACTCTCTCTCACACACACACACACACACACACACACACACACACACACACACACACACACACACACACACACTCTCACACACACACTTTGGTACAGGTGATCTTGGGTTTGATTCCAGGGTGGGGGGTATCCAGGCTTAATGCTACCAGCCTACCAGCCTAACCCATGAGTGAAACTGCAAATACAAGAGCCATACCGGCTCAGACGTCACCCGGGTTAACAAGATCTGCATCAGGAACCCAGGCTACTGGAACAAGACCTTCAGTGAGAGGGGTTATATGCAGAGACTATGGGATGTAGCCTGTCAGGCATCATAGCGGCTAAGATGAGTAGGCACAAGGCTCAATACATAGCCAAGCACCAGCTACTGGTTGATAGAGCAGTCACTCGAGACTGCAAGACCAGGCAGACCAATCTGTGCACTGCCTGGATTGACTACAAGACTCAATGCATATACATGGATACTGGATACTGAAAATGTACAAGATCAACAAGACACTCTTCATCAAATTCAAGGGCAACTGGACTTGGTTGAAGACACTGGACAGATCTGACTGACTGGTAGGGAACTCAGCTATTTATTTGATAGATAGAAATAAATAGCTGAGTTCGTTACAGTCGTTAGGACTACCGAAGGCCAAGACTGAACGACCATCGTTGGCATCTTCACCTGAGGCCAATAGGTTACATTTGTTGAGTTTCCTGGGAAGTGATGAAAGGGCCACAGACTGAGAATCTTCACAGACAGCCTTCATCAAGAACTCAATGGGGCTGTGGAAAACAAGTCTGGAAGCCAACTCAAAGCCAATTGCACAAGTCACCATCAAGTGCGGCATATACCAAGGTGATGCACTATCCCCGCTGCTGTTCTGCATAGGCCTGAACTGCCTCAGCCAGATCATCACAAAGACTGGCTACAGATACTGGTTCTGGAGTGGAACAACCATCAGTCACCTCCTCTACATGGATGACATCAAGCTGTATGCCAGAAATGAGCGAAACATTGACTCACTGATCCACACTACCAGGATCTACAGCAACGACATTGGAATGCTGAATGGGAAAAACAAGATCCGAGCCATCAACACATACGCCCCGCCAGTCATCAGATACCCCGCTGGTATAATAAACTGGCCAAAGGAGGAGATAGAGGCCACTGACATCAAGACGAGAAAGCTCCTCACAATGCATGGAGGGTTTCACCCCAAATCCAGCACCCTGAGACTGTACACCAAGGGTAGCGAGGGAGGCCGAGGGCTAGTGAGTGTCAAGACCACTGTCCAGGATGAAACAACGAAGATCCAGGAGTACATCAGGAAGATGGCCCCCAAAGATGAAGGGCTTAGTGAATACCTCAGGCAGCAGAAACCTGAAGGTGAGCACAAGGAAGATGAAGAACCTTCATGGAGGGACAAGCCGCTGCACGACATTACCACAGACAAATAGAAGAAGTGGCAGATATCAAGAAATCCTACCAGTGGCTGGAAAAGGCTGGACTGAAGGACAGCACAGAAGCACTAATCATGGCGGCACAAGAACAGGCACTCAGTACAAGATCAATAGAGGCTGGGGTCTACCACACCAGGCAGGACCCAGGTACAGACTGTGCAAGGATGCCCCTGAGACAGTACAGCACATAACAGCAGAGTTAAGATGCTGGCAGGAAGTGCGTACATGGAACGCCATAACCAGGTAGCTGTCATAGTGTACAGGAACATCTGCCATGAGTATGGGCTGGAAGTCCCAAGGTCAAAATGGAAGACACCTCCTAAGGTAGTTGAGCTAAGATCCTGTGGGACTTCAAGATCCAGACTGACAAACTGGTGATGGCTAACCAACCAGACATCGTGTTGATCGACAAACAGCAGAAGAAGGCAGTAGTGATAGATGTGGTGATCCCAAGCGACAGCAACATCAAGAAGAAGGAACACGAGAAGCTTGAGAAATACCAAGAAAGAGGAGCTAGAAAACAAAGGAAAGTAAGAGCAACAGTGGTGCCAGTGGTGATCGGAGCCCTGGGGGCTGTGACCCCCAAACTGGGAGAGTGGCTACAGCAGATTCCAGGTAAAACATTAGAGGTCTCTGTCCAGAAGAGTGCAGTCCTAGGAACAGCTAAGATACTGCGCAGAACCCTCAAACTCTCAGGCCTCTGGTAGAGGACCGGAGCTTGAGGATGACACATACCACCCCGCAATCGGTGAGAGGGGGATTTATTATATAACTGCAAAAAAAACACGGTTAATAATAGCCTTTTTTAAAGAAGAAATATTACATGAGCGTAAAGTTGAACAGTGACAGGTTATCGTACAGCTTTAGCAGAAAATAGCTCTTATTGACCACCTGACCTTAAACAAGGTTTGTCACCTCAAGATAAAATTAAAGATAAAACTGAACAGCCTCAGCCTCAGGATCAACTCTGGTCCTCCTTTTTGACATGCTTATCAAATGGCCATGTGCTCCTCAGTTAGCAAAAATCTACATAGATTGATGACAAAAAGTCAGCAAGACAAGTTCCAAAAACAGCAATACTTACTCTGAATAAAATAGGATGTATACATGGTATTATTCTCCCTTTATTCATAATTTAGCTTACTCATTTTCTCACCAATGCATGTCATTAACATTAGCTTATTAGGCTAACTGATTGGTACTAACACTGCAACTGCAGGCCAAGTGTAAATATCTGTTAAAGAACGGTCAAATTGTATATAAACTCAGAGAATAACTGTCTCTGTGGTTGAAAATGAAGAAAAGTAATTACTTGTGAGGCCATGCCTGTGGAGACTCAGCTGTGTCTGCAGGTCGGCAGCAGCAAGACGGTTGTGAGAAGTTTGGTGGCTCTGGGGAAGCTAACATTAGCTTATCCAGCTGATCTATCTTAATTTAAGCCATTATGTGAGGAACTGATTCTCTAAATTGGTGAACACGATACTTAATCAGCAGTATTAAATTGGGGATGTTACTTTTTGAGCATGGAAAATGTGAATTACTGAATTACAGTAGGCTATTTCTAAACTAGCTTAAAAAGTTTGTGTAAGAAAAATTACAGATTTATGAGGACCTGTTGAGTGTGTCATGAATGTGTGTTTAAAGTGTGTTAAAGTACCAAAACTGACCACTAGTTGGCGTATCAGCAAATGAGCAAAAAACATTCACACACTTTGTAAACTTGTGATATTTCAGGACATGGGAGATTTTTGGCTTAGAGGCATTCAGGGAGCATCTAGAACTCTGTAGTGAGCTTGGAAAAATGAGGACCCCCAAAATGTCCTTATTTTTCTGGACGTCCTGATATTGAAGGTGTGTTATCATAAAAATGTCCTCAGTTGTCATGAAAACAAGTACAAACACACACACACACACGTGTTACACAAACAACAGCTCATCAACAACAACAAATAAACCACAACAAGTTTCCATTCAGCTGATCAATAAACATTGTTTTTTATTGAAACAGAAACCACTGAGATACTACAATCCTACTACTACTGCTGCTGCTGGTACTGTAGTAGTGATCCGCCAGTGTTGTGGCAGTCACCTGACACAAACACATGTAGTACAAGTACTATTACTGCTACTACTACAACTTTGGTGCAGCTACTACTACAAGAACTACTGCTATTATTGTTACTGCTACTATTAGAACTACTAGAGGTACCACTACTACTAATACTAGTACTAATAGTACCACAGTACTAAACGCTATTCTAGTAAAAATACTACAACTACTACGACTAGTAGGTATACGTCACCACAACTAGGCCTACTACTACTAATCATACTACTACTACAACCACTACAAATAGTCTAGTACCAACTATAATGGTTTGTCTACTGTAAGAAATACTACAATTAAATATACTACAACCACTAGGAACACTTCTACTACTACTAGGGTACAACTAATAAAAACAATAATAATACTTGCAAGCCTACTACTACTATTACTACTAATACTCCTGCAACAAATACTACTTTTACAAGTACTATTTGCTACGTACTATGACCTCTACTACAACTAGAGTGCCATCAGTACTAACTCGAGTGCTACAACAACTGGTGCTGATAATAATACTTCTGCTAACAAGAACTACTACTGCTGATTCTGCTACAATACTACTACTGGAATACTGCAGTATTAATAATACTGCTAGGCTCCAACCTCTATCTATTGTACTCTTCATTCTACTAGCTAGAACTAATGGTACTAGTGCCATTATTAATAGTATGTCTACTGTAAATAATACTAGCCTACTATTAACTACCAACTAAGTAATACTACTGCTACTAGGGTAGCTACTACTAATAAAAACAATAATATTAATACTTCCAGACCACCACTACTATTATACTCCCGCTACAAAGATTAATACCACTATTACAAGTACTAAAACGTAGTAGTACTACTAATAATACACATTTATCAAGACAAGGAAAACGCAGTACTTCAAAAGTGACACGGACGCGCACTACGCAGTGAAAGCATGAATGAGAGTGACGCAGGAGGAAGTGACCGTTATTCTGTGACTTCTCTCCGACCCACGAGCCGGATCTGAGCCGGATCAATGTGAATCCAGAAGCCTTCATCCTCATCATCCTCTGAAGGGATTTATAGGGACTTTTCTGACCGGAGTCTGGCGGCGAGGACCGTCGGAGGGGAATCCCGGAGGGGGGCGTGACCACCGGCTGTGAGTGCGCCTGTGTGTTTGTGCGGCACGTGCGGTATCAGTGAGGAGTACTACGGACCCGGAGGAAGACCCGGACCTGATCCTGCGTCTGTCCACAGCTTCACATGGGTTACCGATCCGCAGCAGCGGGTCCGCTTCCTCTGCGCATCATGTGTGTTCAGATTCTTCACCTCGCGGCTTCCATCATCAGATAATCAACACAGCCGCGCGGTCTTCACGGTCAGCTGAGACCCGTTTCTTGCTGGATCAGTTTCAAACTTCAGCTTTTGAAGGATTTTATCCAAACATGGACTCGGATGTGTGTTCACAGCTGAACTATTGACTGATTTAGGAAACACTGAATAATAATAATAATAATAATAATAATAACACCGCGGATCGGCGGATTCAGCTGGCGACGTTTCTTGCTGACGTCATCAGGCGCCGTGCTCCTATTGGCTGTGTCTCTGAGGATGCGTGAGGTCAGTGTCTAGGCGTGGCAGTGACGGACGGCGGCCTGTAGGGGGGGTGGGGGGGTGATGTCAGCCGCCTACAGCAGCCGGGACATCGTGGAGGACTACCTCCGCTACAAGCTGCTCAACAGCGGCGTGGCGTGGCGCGTGCGGCCAGCACGAACAGGTGGCTGGCGACCAAGGCGCGAGCAAGGTGCGCCAACGTCATGGTTGTCATGGAGATCTGAGGGAGCAAGGTCACACCAGCCAGGTGAGCAAGGTGACCGTGTTGTCACAGCAACGGCTACTGTCTTATCATTGATTATGATGTCATCAAAGGGGTATGTGGAGGAGTCTATTGATACTACTGCAAGTACTACTACTACTACTACTACTAAAAATAAAGCGACTACTACTACTTCACATACTACTTCTAGGCTACTACAAAAAGCTAATACTATGACACGTAGTACTAAAAATAAAGCTACTATGACTACTAGTACTCTCTGCTCTTCCTGTTATGATGTCACTTCTTTTGCTCGTAGCATGATGATGTCACTGCTCATGGTATAAGGTGACGTCATAGCATGAGTGACATCACTGTTTAGCTCCTCCTCTTTTCTTATGATGTCACGTGCCTCCTTGGTGTGACGTTTAATGGAGGTCAGATTGAGTGACAGCAGAGTTCGGGACGCTGTTCAACATGGGCGGAGTCAAACGGATGACTCGACCTGTTGCTCTGTCAGCATCAGACGTCAGCTGCCTCGCTGCCGACGTGCTGCTCGGTATTAAAGTTCTCCATGTCCCCACGCAGCTCTGCCTCAACTCTGTGATTTACAGAGTTTCCTGATGGACACGTTGTTGCTTTATGCTAAAGTGACTGCTAACTGCTGCTAACTAGCTGCTGTTATCTAATTAGCTCAGTTAGCCGTGCAGCTAGCGGTCATAGCTGACTCAGCGGCGCCGCATTGGGAACCAGAACCGGAGCCAAGCGCGGGCAACAACACCGAGCTCCTAAGCCTCCTAGTGAACACAGCATGAACAAAAGTGGTTTACAGATGCTAAACCGTTAACTGTATCTGTCTGCATCTGTAGCTAGTTAGCTCGGTTAGCGGTGCAGCTAGCGGTCTTATTAGCTGACTCAGCCACCTCAGCACTGTATTCCCCGTCGTCAAACTGGCCTCTGTCGGTCTCGGAGGATGTGTTTGGTCCCGGCTGTAGTGTTCACTGCGTTATACTGGACACTGCCTGTTGCTAATTTTACGCCTTTCTAATTATCCTGCCTTTATGTCGAGGCTTCTTTTCTTTGATGTATGTGTTATCAGAGGCGGACAAACAACATAATGAATGAGCTGTAATCAAAGATAATACACAGACCAGGCTAACTGGTTCTCAGGAGGTTGTTTATGTTTACTGTTCTGGTACATGTCAACATGCAACCGCATCTTTATTTCTGTACATGAAGTCATGTGGTCTTTATGTGGAAGTGAAGGGGTCAAACGTTTGACGGTACATACTTCTGTAGTACTGGACATGGATCACCTAAACATACAAGTACACAGGCATGGTACTCTCCGTATATTACATGCATCACCTGCCTGACAGAAGGGCTGTGATTGGCCCCTCTTGTCTTTAAAGGGTCCCTCCTCCCTGAGCAACACAACAACAACAATTAGTAGAAAAGTGAATAAATAAAATATACACACACACACACACACACACACACATACTAATCGTCTCCTCCTTGATGATTGGTGGTCTCCTCTTCATAGATTCCTGGTTGGCTCCACCCCGGCTGCAGGTCGTCCTGCGGTGCGCCGGTGACGAGCTGGAGCACCATTACCGCGGCGACCTGTCGGCCCATGTGTCGGTGCTGCTGCAGGGCGACGCCGGCCTGGCGGCACGACGGCGAAGCCTGACGGTGGTCAGGGAGGAGCTGTTCAGGGATGGGGTGAACTGGGGACGCATCGTGGCCATGATGGAGCTGTGCGGCGCTCTGTGCGCCGAGGTGGTCAAGACGGGCGGGACGTGGCAGGTGGACGACATCGCCGGGTGGATGGAGGAGAGTCTGGACTCGCCGCCACTCCGAGGATGGATAGAGGATAACGGAGGATGGGTAGGAGTCTCTTTCCTCACCACAAACCAGACTCCATTGAGTTTTCTGTTGATTTAGCATATTCGCAGACGACACAGGAACAGGTAACAGGAGGGCAGAAGCAGGTGGAGATGTGGGGGGCAAAACAGGTGAGCAGGTGGATGTAGGAGTCAGGTGACTTGGTGCTCCTGGAGACCGGGACAGAAAATACAAACAACCGAGGTGGCTGACGTGCGAACCAAAGAAAAAGTGAAATCAGTGAAATCTGGTGGGAGTTTGGTTAAAAGAGAAAATATGAAAAGATTAAAAGTATGAGGTGACTGTTTCTTGTTTTAATGTTATTATGTCATGTTATCTTGTTACATCATGAAAATGCTTCACAATCGGCTCTTCAGGTCCCTGATGCGATTCCAATGGTCCTTGAAAGGTATCTTAGACAGTGTTCAGAGGTCGCTGAAATAGTTCAGGGATGCTCGGCAGTGACTGAGCAGTCTTTCATTCGCTTCCAGAAGTCCTTGAAGTTCCAGGACAGGGTTTAGGGTTGTCTGGGGATTACTGGGCCCTTCCATAGTTGGTTCCAGAAGTCCCTGAAAGGACGGGGTTCTTGACTGATTCTTCATGCTTCAGAGGGCTCCTGTGGCGTTTGAAGGGGTCGCAGGGGGCCGTCTGGATCAAGTTCCGTCACATTCACAGCGTGGATCAAGAAATCAGTAAGAGAAATAATCAATAAAATCAGACGTGTGAAGTAAAGCATAGAATAAACACGTTTATTAATAAGAGATGGTTTTCTCTGTTTCGGGTGTCAACCGGGATATGTAATGAGTGTGTGTGTGTGTGTGAGTGTGAGTGTGTGAGTGTGAGTGTGTGTGTATGTGGGGAGATCAGATGTGACACTGCAGACAGTATTTTGGTTTGAATGCAAATGATATGCAAAGTGCAGAAAATCCCTAAAACTCTGCAGACAAACTGTGTGTGTGTGTGTGTGTGTGTGTGTGTGTGTGTGTGTGTGTGCGTGTGTGTGTGTGTTGGAGGGCAGAGCGACGGAGAGGCAGACAGACTGAAACACAGCGAGACTCGTCTGACTGAAACTGAGACAGAAACACGGAGCTCGTTTCACTGTCAACCCAAGAAATGACTGATCACTTGTTTCTTAGCTGCAGAATGTTATAAGCTAAAAAACGTTTTGCTCGAGGCCTTTATGGGCTCAAAAATAACTCAAATGTGACCTGATAACATGTTTACATTCAAAACCTCCATTTGGAAAACGTGGTTTTAAAAAACAACCACACCAGAACAGAACTAGCTGCTCATTAACGGCTTTATTCCAAACTTCCACTGGAGAAAGCCTCATACTTGTGTTTAAAGACTGCTGCTAGTTAACTGGTCCTTTCCAAACCTCCATCTGAAAAGCTCTTCTTAAAGGACCAAAAGAGAGTCACTTCTAGACGTCTGTTGGGGAAACCTGACCTGGATCAATAAGCAGTCACCATCTCTAACGTTATTAAAAACACATTCATGTGACTCATAGGCTGACAGGAGATGCAGCATACTTTCATCATGCTGTCAGGTTCAGTTTAGACCACAGACCTGGGGCTGAGCTGGACTAGAGAAGACCTGGTTCAGGTTGTGTCAGATCAGGAGCAGATGAGGTTTGATATCTGAAGATAATGTGTGTGTGAAAGACCCCCTGAACGCAGCACAGAGATGCTTTCACTTTCTATTTATATTCTATCCTGTCGCTGTGGTTTCCTTCAGTTTTATCTACTGCCTGATAACATGTGTGTGTGTGTGTGTGTGTGTGTTCGTGTGTGGTATTACCTAGAAATATCTTTCCAGGTAATCCGTGTGGTTGAGTTTCCGCCTCGGGCTTCAGATCAGCTGACAGACTATTTCTGTAGAACCTCAGTTCAAATAACACCTGAATACCTAAAAGTACCTAAATGACAAAACACACACACACACACACACACACTCGCAGGTGACCTGAGCTGTGTGTGGGTCTCCGTTTTCAGTTAATTTTCAAAGGGAGTCTGGCAGTGATGCTGGTTTGACTCCTGTCTTTTGAGCGCTGAGCAACACGCTAACACCGCAGCAGGTGAAGCTGTGTGTGTGTTTCTGTGTGTGCGTGTAGTTAGCTCCACGAACACAGGCAGTGGTGAGCCGAGCTGCTTTCTCAGAATTCAGTTAGAAAATTTTCCACCAAGATGTTCAGAAAGAACCAGAGCACAAGGCTACGTGGTAGAGTGAGTGTTAGAGTGTGTTACAGTGTGTGTTAGTGTGTTAGAGTGTTAGAGTGTGTGTTAGAGTGTGTTAGTGTGTTAGAGTGTTAGAGTGTGTGTTAGTGTGTTACAGTGTGTGTTAGTGTGTTAGAGTGTTAGAGTGTGTGTTAGAGTGTGTTACAGTGTGTGTTAGTGTGTTAGAGTGTTAGAGTTTGTGTTAGAGTGTGTTAGTGTGTTAGAGTGTTAGAGTGTGTGTTAGAGTGTGTTACAGTGTGTGTTAGTGTGTTAGAGTGTTAGAGTGTGTGTTAGAGTGAGTGTTTGAGAGTGTTACAGTGTGTGTTAGAGTGTGTGTTAGAATGTGTGTTAGAATGTGTGTTAGAGTGAGTGTTAGAGTGTGTGTTAGTGTGTGTGTTAGTGAGTGTTAGAGTGTGTTACAGTGTGTGTTAGTGTGTTAGTGTGTTAGAGTGTTAGAGTGTGTGTTAGAGTGAGTGTTAGAGTGTGTGTTAGTGTGTTAGAGTGTGTGTTAGAGTGTTAGAGTGTGTGTTAGAGTGAGTGTTAGAATGTGTGTTAGAATGTGTGTTAGAGTGAGTGTTAGAGTGTGTGTTAGAGTGTGTGTTAGAGTGTGTGTTAGAATGTGTGTTAGAATGTGTGTTAGAGTGAGTGTTAGAGTGTGTGTTAGTGTGTGTGTTAGAGTGAGTGTTAGAGTGTGTTACAGTGTGTGTTAGTGTGTTAGTGTGTTAGAGTGTTAGAGTGTGTGTTAGAGTGAGTGTTAGAGTGTGTGTTAGTGTGTTAGAGTGTGTGTTAGAGTGTTAGAGTGTGTGTTAGAGTGAGTGTTAGAGTGTGGTACAGTGTGTGTTAGTGTGTTAGAGTGTTAGAGTGTGTGTTAGAGTGTGTGTTAGAGTGTGTTAGTGTGTTAGAGGGTGTGTTAGAGTGTGTGTTAGAGTGTGTTAGTGTGTTAGAGTGTTAGAGTGTGTGTTAGAGTGAGTGTTAGAGTGAGTGTTAGAGTGTGTGTTAGTGTGTTAGAGTGTGTGTTAGAGTGAGTGTTAGAGTGTGTTACAGTGTGTGTTAGTGTGTTAGAGTGTTAGAGTGTGTGTTAGAGTGTGTGTTACAGTGTGTGTTAGAGTGTTTGTTAGAGTGAGTGTTAGAGTGTGTTACACTGTGTGTTAGTGTGTTAGAGTGAGTGTTAGAGTGTGTTAGTGTGTTAGAGTGTTAGAGTGTGTGTTAGAGTGAGTGTTAGAGTGTGTGTTAGAGTGAGTGTTAGAGTGAGTGTTAGAGTGTGTGTTAGAGTGAGTGTTAGAGTGAGTGTTAGAGTGTGTGTTAGAGTGAGTGTTAGAGTGAGTGTTAGAGTGAGTGTTAGAGTGTGTGTTAGAGTGAGTGTTAGAGTGTGTGTTAGAGTGAGTGTTAGAGTGAGTGTTAGAGTGAGTGTTAGAGTGTGTTAGTGTGTTAGAGTGTTAGAGTGTGTGTTAGAGTGAGTGTTAGAGTGTGTGTTAGAGTGTGTGTTAGAGTGTGTGTTAGAATGTGTGTTAGAATGTGTGTTAGAGTGAGTGTTAGAGTGTGTGTTAGAGTGTGTGTTAGAGTGTGTGTTAGAGTGAGTGTTAGAGTGTGTGTTAGTGTGTGTGTTAGAGTGAGTGTTAGAGTGTGTTACAGTGTGTGTTAGTGTGTTAGTGTGTTAGAGTGTTAGAGTGTGTGTTAGAGTGAGTGTTAGAGTGTGGTACAGTGTGTGTTAGTGTGTTAGAGTGTTAGAGTGTGTGTTAGAGTGTGTGTTAGAGTGTGTTAGTGTGTTAGAGGGTGTGTTAGAGTGTGTGTTAGAGTGTGTTAGTGTGTTAGAGTGTTAGAGTGTGTGTTAGAGTGAGTGTTAGAGTGAGTGTTAGTGTGTGTTAGTGTGTTAGAGTGTGTGTTAGAGTGAGTGTTAGAGTGTGTTACAGTGTGTGTTAGTGTGTTAGAGTGTTAGAGTGTGTGTTAGAGTGTGTGTTACAGTGTGTGTTAGAGTGTTTGTTAGAGTGAGTGTTAGAGTGTGTTACACTGTGTGTTAGTGTGTTAGAGTGAGTGTTAGAGTGTGTTAGTGTGTTAGAGTGTTAGAGTGTGTGTTAGAGTGAGTTACCGTGTGTTACAGTGTGTGTTAGTGTGTTAGAGTGTTAGAGTGTGTGTTAGAGTGAGTGTTAGAGTGTGTTACAGTGTGTGTTAGTGTGTTACAGTGTGTGTTAGTGTGTTAGAGTGTTAGAGTGTGTGTTAGTGTGTTAGAGTGTGTGTTAGAGTGTTTGTTAGAGTGAGTGTTAGAGTATGTTAGAGTGTGTGTTAGTGTGTTAGAGTGTGTGTTAGTGTGTGTGTTAGAGTGTTTGTTAGTGTGTTAGAGTGTGTTACAGTGTGTGTTAGTGTGTTAGAGTGTTAGAGTGTGTTACAGTGTTTGTTAGAGTGTTAGAGTGTGTGTTAGAGTGTGTGTTAGAGTGTGTGTTAGTGTGTTAGAGTGTGTGTTAGTGTGTTAGAGTGTGTGTTAGAGTGAGTGTTAGAGTGTTAGAGTAAGTGTTAGAGTGAGTGTTAGAGTGAGTGTTAGTGTGAGTGTTAAAGTGAGTGTTAGAGTGTGTGTTAGTGTGTTAGAGTGTGTGTTAGAGTGAGTGTTAGAGTGTGTGTTACAGTGTGTGTTAGTGTGTTAGAGTGTGTGTTAGAGTGAGTGTTAGAGTGTGTGTTACAGTGTGTGTTAGAGTGAGTGTTACAGTGTGTGTTAGTGTGTGTTAGAGTGAGTGTTAGAGTGTGTGTTACAGTGTGTGTTAGAGTGAGTGTTACAGTGTGTGTTAGTGTGTGTTA